TGTGGAATATCAACTCAGCTATAAATCATGTGCTGAGACTAGCTACAAGATTCGCTCCAGTGATTGAAAGAATGAATGAAATTGACATCAACGGCGGAGAACCTTCAGTGATGGTGCCACATGATTATTCTATAATTACGAATTAACAGCCTGAATTGTTAATAAATCATGACGAATTCCAGTAACTCAATTTCATTTTATTTCAACATATGTTATGATTTTGTCATTTGTTTTAACAAGTAAGAAATCGCCATTTGTGTTGCTAAGAAACTTCTTCTACAATTAATTTTGGGCCACTTTTTATTTTTTTCTCGGGTGCATGGATTACTGCAAAGAGATATTGGAAGAGGGGATTCAAATACAAAACTTCGGGTGCATAGATAACTACTCTTAACATTAACTACTTGAGCTACAAGTTCGTTACAATTTTAAGCGACCTTGTTGAATTCATTATGGTTGAAGTTTCTAACGAAATTGTGTTGCTAAGAATATTCAACAAATCTGACTTGTCGCATTTCTTTATCTTTGAATTTCTAGTAAGATTTTGACATTTCCAAATTCCAATTTCCAAGCATTGGGTGGTTTTCTCCATTATTAGTGGATTTTCTTTTTCCACGAAGATACATATTTGTTTTGCCATATCCATGAAAGCAATGGTTTTCCTCCCTTTTTTTTTTCCCATAGATAGATCTCTGATCCCTCTCTCTGTTCTGTATGCATTAATAAAATGATGAATAATTTATTTCTGACCTAGCTAGAAAGATTGGGGGGACTGACATCATGTGCATTATTGAACAGAGTTACACAGTTGTGTTGTGTGTGTATATATATAAAATATAGGCATAACCCCAGAAGCACAAGACAAGAGTGAGTGACATGATTGAACCCTGCAAGCAAGAGGAAGAGGAAGAGGAAGGCCATGCAACCAACAACATAACATGATGATGTTATGCATACAACTTGTAATCAGAAAAAAGCTAGGAAGAATATCATATGGTCCATATCTGCCAAGTGGTTGAGGAACACGCATTATGGAAACTTATAACCAAATTTTCATGCACCATTTATTATGACTCACCATTCGACAGACCAGACCACTTCTAAATTAAAATCAAATTTTATTATAAGCTTTTCTTTATTTATTCATTTCAAGATACACCTAATGTGTGTGTTTGTGTGACAGCTCAAAGCCCTCAAACGCAGTTGTTGGGAATTAAACCAAAAGGAAGGGAGGAGATCCATGTTACGAGGATTATGTCATGAAGCACTAATTGCAAAAGAAAGTGAAATTAGGTTCACTCACCACGTGCTTTGCACCAGCAGATGACTCAGAAGATGACCTCCACCCACACCCACACCCACACCCACATGGATCTTTTGAGTTTTCCTCTTGGCAGATGTCGCACGTTCCTCTCTCTCTCTCAAAATTCGGATATATCCATCTATAAATCGATTCATACCTTTTGTCCCCAGTTATATTCATTCTTTTATCTGCCGTTGGTGTTTTTTTCTGGTCAAACCTCAAGCTGGAAGGAGAAAAAAATCTTCCTAGAAGGCTATTTAATTAATGTTTGAGCTTTCTGCACTTGTGATTATGAGTGGTCGATAATCTCCATTATCCTATTTAGACCTAAACCCTAAACTTAAATATTAGCAAAACCTCTAAGTATACGAGCGAGTGAACGCTTTTAACTACTCAAACTAAAAACTTATTACAAACTATCAACCTTTTACTATATTCGATGGCTTTTTAAAAATTAGCGGGGGCTTCTAACTTAAGCCCTCCACGAACAAGAAGATTTCGATTCTTATATCCTCCATTTTCTTGAATAAAACTGAGAAATTTATGAGTTGAAGTGATAATCCATTTATGGCATATTTTTATTTGGAATAGAAAATGCCGAGGTCTATTGGTCAGAACATGAGATGAATTAAAAAAATAAAGAAGCGGGGCGATCCAGCATAATCCAGACAAAGCGAAGTGTGTCCCCATTTTCTTAATCTTGATTGTTGCTTGGGATGCCTTTTACAAATCGTAATTATTTCATCTCAATAATTAAGTTGAACATCTAAATCTAATATATATGTATAAGACACTGCCAAGGATTAGAGGATGACTTTAATTCCTGCTCGACAAACTGTTCATAATGAACGAAACAAAATAATATTATTTGGGTTTAACATATTTAAGTGAGATTAATTTAACGCAACAGTCCACGTGATTAAGATCCCATGCCCCTATATTTGGGGTTACTTTAACTAAATAATTTGGTCAGGCATGAAGCATCAACTCTTCAACATGAACCTTCTCGGTTACTTAAACATTTCATTAATTAATCTTGGGTCAGGGTGACTTTAAAAATTCATTAAATAATTACATGAAAATACTATATTCTATACACTATATACATACGTGCAGTCTAAGATGCAGACTTTGATACTTTAAACTCAGTTGCGCAAACTAAATGGTTAAAGAAATAGACAAGATAACATAATGATGTAAGTTAAATCAATGAAAAAGAACTTGGGGAAGTTGGCATCGGTGCTAGGCTTTTGTCGTCTTTACTGGAATTCATGAGCAACTTCTTCAATACGCCCGGCCGGCCTAATATAAAAACATAGGGTATGTACATCAAGATTGATTATTAAAGCATGGCATAATCTAATTAAGGAACCGCTTTTAACATGGCAAGTGGCGTTGATTATTGATATAGAAAAAGGAAAAGAAGCGTACGTATGTATAATTATGTGTCTATTTCTTTAATTACATAATTAAATATATTTTATTCTAATTCGCCGTTTCAACTCAATAATAATAAGCAGCGACTAAAAGAAAAACGGGTTAATATTATGGACCCGTATTTTGGAATAGATAAATTTCTAATGAATCATAAATTTTACAGGAAAATTTGTTATTCGTGTTATAAATGAATATATGGTTGCATGCTTAACAAGTTTTCTGAAAACAAATGACACATATGTTATCATTATTGAACAAGATCAAGTTGTAAAGATGAAAATAAGCAAAGAATTTTTCAAACTCCAATTCCAATTCGAGATTCTAGATCTCTGATTTCTTAATGCTCCACAAAAACTGTTTGACCCGACTTTTCATTTTTCTATCACTCAAGAACAATAGAAAAGGTATATTAATTTGACTTTAATAATAATGTTCATCCACCATCTATCTTGTTTCATGGGATTCATACCAGAAGGGTAGGGGATGGTAATTGAGCATCCTTTTGGGAGGGTTTGTTTGGTTGGCTGAGTTAGGGGCGGCCGACCGAATGATGATACCGAGTAAATGTGAACGGGTTGAGAATGCATGGTAAATCCACCAAACTCGGGTCTTTGTTGGGAGCTCAGCCGCTGTGTCTTTTGTGCCAAAGAAAAATGCACATACTGTCTCTTTGAAGTCTAAAGTTTCAAAGTATAAACCAAACCGATAATTTTCTTTCTTTAATTCCCACTTTGTCTTGCCGACTGGGGCTTGCTCTCTTTTTCCAGTTGGAAGTTTTGAAGAAAAACCCTAGCGACAGACAGAGACAGTCCAAAACAAACAAAATTGGAGTAATAAAAATAGAATCATTTGGATTTTATGCACTGCAACATTTGAATACAGCCTTTTTAGTAACCATTAATTCGTCTGGCCCGTCGTTTCTTCAAATCTTATCTTCATCTCTGTGGTGTGTGTTCGTCTCGACATAAAAAAATCAGAGTGTTGCAGCTGTTGCTAAGCATCTCCAATCGATATGTCAAATTGCCACATAAATATAAAATGATAAAAATTGAAGGTTAAAATTGTTCAAACCGAGTAGTCAAATCCTATATGAATTTAAAGATCGGAATCCCGAAAAAGATATATAAAAAATAACATATCAAAAAACTTGATGTCAAATATTATTTTAATATTTTTTTAATTATGGATCCCACCCATTATCATTTACTTTCTTTTAAACTTTATGCATCATATATGAGTCCCATTTACTTATAAAAATATAATAAAAAAATATGATATTTGGCATTTTGGGTAGAGTTATTTTTTTTTCTTCCAAAGTATCAAATTACCACATAAGCCATCAAAATTAAATTTAACATTTTGTAATTGGCATCGCCCTTTGAGATGCTATTAACTAGTAATTGGAGCTAGATATATTAATTAATTAAAATAAAATTAATTAGATTAACAATTTATCTCCATCAAATACGAGATAAACTTACATATAACAAAAATGCCACCATAAAAAAGCAAAATCACTTGACAATGAGTTATTACCCTAAAATAGGTCACACTAGTGTCTCCCTTTTATAAGTTTTTCTCATGAAACACGTCACATCGCATGCCTCGGCTAAAAGCTTACACCATTTTTCCTGCTGCCATGCCATCCATGGCAAGCAAAAACAAAAAAACAAAAAAAACAAAATTATTAAGATCCACCGTCAAGGTAGATTAACGTCAGGACACGTGGCTCGCAACTACTCTTTCATATTCAATAAATATCGTAGCCGTTGTAAAAAAATCCAAAAATAAAATAAAAGTAAAAGTATAGTCAGCAATATCTATTATTTATAGAAATAATAAAGTTCACATTTTTTCTGCGTCTTAAAATTCGGGACCATTAAAGAAATAATTTAAAGAGATCTGCCACTCGTACCACTCACCGCTGACATGTCATTACTCTCTTTTTCCTCATTGCTTTTGTCATTATCTTTGGGGCCTCGATATCTTCCTCCTCCTCCTCATCTCAATCACCCACCGCACATTTTCCTCGACAACACCAAAAGCCAATCCAACGGTCACGCAGTAAACAATATCATTAATTAATAATATTTCAGCTATTTGTAATGACTTTTCATATTTTATATTTTTATTTTAATGAGTTACCCAAGCATCTTTTTCCATCCAACACAACACCAAAAAATGCATTAAATAATCGCAGCTTCCATTATTTTGAGCCCTTTTGACCGGACCTCCTACTTTCCCCCCCTCTCTCTATATAAAGACTTTCCATCCCCTACTCTCTCTCATCAAAGCCTTTTCTTCCTCCTAGCCACTTGGTCTTTCTATTTATCTCTGCTCTCGCTTCTCTCTCTTTCTCTCTCTTACAATTTACTTTTGCTGTTCTTCTCTGTCATGGCTATGGCTGACCAAACACCTTCAAAGCGCCAAAGGGAAGAAACCCTAGCAGACGACTGCGAGGACCCTAAGCGCCACAAGTCTTACAACCACATACTCTCTCTTCTCGATGAAGAAGAAGAGGAACCCTCACAAGACTTGTCCTCCATTATCACAACCCTTCAGCAAGAGCTCTCCTCTGACTCTGCCTCTGAGCCTCTCACTGCATTTCCAAACTCCGACGCAGACCAAGAAATTAACCAGTCCTCAGCTTCCACAGCTGCTACAGCCTTTGAAGGATATGCCTCCTCTTCCTCTGGCTCTTCTTCACCTTCTTCTTCGAATACAAACTCAGGGTTTTTGAAGGAAGGGGATGAGCAAGAAGATGACGGCGAGAGGGTCATGAGACACCTTCTTGAAGCTTCTGATGATGAGCTGGGGATTCCCCAGAGAGAGGAACTTAGTGGGTTCGATGATGCAGAAGATGCTGGGTTTAACGGGCTGATGTTGGATGGGTTTTCTTTTGGTGATGGGTTATGGGAGCTTGAAGATGAAGCTGCCAACTACTACACCCTGGTGCAATCTGAACTGTTCATGTAGTTCATTGTGAAGGGTGTGGTGGGAAGGTGCAAAATTGGAAAGAAAAATATATCTTTAGGGGAGTTTGGTTGTATGGGCAAATGTTTAAGAAGTAAAGAGGGACAAGATAGTAAAAATGGAGAGAATTTTAAATTTTCATTTTGGTCCCTCGTCTTTTGTAAAAATATCATCAAGTGTCCTCTGCCAACTATTTAGAAGAAGATTAACTTGTAGAAGAAAACAGATTCAAATTCTATGACATTATTTACCATCAACTGTCCGTTTTATTTATATTTATTTGTTATAATTACTCAATTTTAAGAGGATGTGATGTGACCCCCAAGTTGAATCAAATTACCATTAACCCTTATTTAACATAGTTTCCCTCCTTTTTATCTTAATTTTATTTCTTGGTTAAATGAATTAAATACCCTTCCCCCCCACCCCAAGTGAGGTTTCAGTTGGGAGGTCGTTAAATTACAAAAAGGGGGTTTAGGCTTTTGGTGGGAAAGTAAAGACTTAAGCAGGAAATGACGCTTTTGGGGTTTGGGGAGTTGCTAACATGAGCCATGCCCTGCGCACTACGCACTTGATAAAATTTATAAATAAATAATAAAAAAAACCTCTGTATCTGTAGTGTAGAGAGTACATATGGTGTACGTAAAACCGACCAAACTCGTATTTAACGTTGTGACTTAAGTTTTGAACATTGGATTCTCCATGAGTTTGTTTGTTCTTCCTTGTCACGGGTCGCTTCTTTCGCGCGTATGGGTCACCGCTATCTTTACTGATTGAAGAGTGACGACACACCGTTTCATAAAGGTGCAATATAAAATAGAAATAAAATACGGGTAAATAGGTTGGAGAGTTGTGGTGAAACACGATGCGAGTGCGACGAGTCGAACGCAAAACAGGGGCTGGTCCAGATGTGGGGTGGGGTCTCTTTTTTCCGTGGGGTGTAGGGTCCATTCGGGAGATGAAAGCAAATCTAGTGCGACAAATTATTTCCAAGGGACCCAGAGGGTGGGGCCGGGGAGGAGCGTCCTCGATGCGAGAGGTGTGGGGCCCATTAATAAGACAGTGAGATACTGACGAGGCAATGCGTTGTCTGCCATGGCCACTGCATATAAAATATAATATATGCATCTCAGATATATTTACTATAATAATGAGGTGTTTGATGTGATGTGATGTGATATGGGGGGTGAAGATATTATAGGGGATGGTCCTCACCATGGGAGGAGGGAGGGCATGGACCATGGGATGCATTTGGAGTGACAGAGACTGGGGGTGCCATGATTTAGGGCCCCGCAGAGATATTAACTGGGTCAGAAAAGTAGATATCAGCATTTATGGGGAACGTCACGTAACGAGAAAAACTTAGTTGAAACGGTAAAGCTTCTCGATCAATAATCTTATATTACGTGTGAAAGAGTTATTATGCGTATCATAGTTTCATATTCATGACTCATCACACATATATAATGCTATCACATACCATATGTGGCTTTGAAGGCAAATGAATTTGGATTTAATCAATAGTATATTTGTGTGGTTACATATTCTTCTTCAGCATCCAAGTAAAATGTGTACTCATCTTTCAGGTGAACAAATAATAAATAATATTGAAATTTAAAACTAAGAATGTTTCTTAATCATTTACATTTAGAGATTGATAATCTTACAGTGGGAACTCAAAAAATGTCTACTAATCGTAAGTTCATTTGGATGGAGCTGGAGGGATGTTAAATCTATAGATGACATTGTATGGTAAAATTGCGTATAACAATTTATGTATGCCAATATTTGAACAAGAAAGAAATGATGAAAATAAATGGATTTCAAATGACTCATTAACCTTGTTTAATAAAGATCAAAACATAAGAATTTGGGAATTGAATTAGAGATGCCCTAACACATAATACATAGTTTGAGAAATGTCCAAAATATAAAATATTATTAAAGATGTCATGAGACAAATAAGATTGGAAGTATAGAGAATAAAATGCATCGATTGAGAAAAGTCCAACAATGACATGGCTCAATTAGGCCTACGCTGTTTGTTTAGATGCTGAGCTTAATAACAAAGTAATAAAGACAAAAAGAGATCTACGTGGGTGGATAGGTAGATAATTTTGAAAATGACATATGGGTGTGGCTGGCTGCTGCTGTCATAGAAATTAGGGTACGTATAGTTCTAGAACCAGTAGAATAAAAGAAAGAAGAAGATTTGATTTGATTTCTTTTATTTACTCAAATCCAGTTTGAAAAACTGACACCATTTTTATTTAGTGCGCCTCAGGAAAATGGAATGGACCCGGTTTAGAAGAGTAGACTTTACGACAATTTCCAAGCACCGTGCCGTACCCGTTATCTTCCTACACTCGGCGGCATGACTTGCACACTTTAAATTTTATTCCAACGTCTTTGAACAAATGACCCGCTTTTTTTCCAATTTTGAATTTTAGAACCACATGTTGGACTATGTTTTTCATACGTTAGTTTTGCTCTCAAAATTTTCATCAGTGTCTTATGATTCACGTGATAAGAAAGATAAGCACAAAAGTTGTCTTATTTCAATATTGTGTTGCGTCAATGTCCTAAAATGCCTTACTTATGAAGGTAAGCGACTAATATAATTTTCTTGACTTGCTTATTAATGTGTTTTTCGGTTGGATTTTGACTACTTTATATTTTTATTTATTTAAATGATTCAAATAATAATTTGAATGTAAATGATGAACCATGCATATATCCACCTACACTCCATAACGCTTAGCGTCTAGTCAAAGAAAACCATCAACAAATTATTCCATTCCATTCCCATGGTTATATTACGATAAAGTCGCACACCATTGTTTAGGTCTTAAAAAAGAAATTTGTATCAAAGTAAGCATCATTGTATTGTATGCACAATAATGTAAGATAAAGATCATGGGGATGATGGGTGAAGCATGCCATTATCACACGAAATTAATGAATAAACAAAGACACACAAATGTAATACCCCCATTATACAAGTCATTGATTGAGCAGTGGTTGGCTGAGGGTCTATTTGGAACAGATTCTAAATCTCCCCCCCACACAAATATAAATGGAGAGAGAGAACCATTACCAAAGTACGTGTACGACTTTGTTAATTATATTTAAAGATACGACTAAATAGTGGTAGGAAGCTTCCTGAGACATGCATTTGTTGTTTTTTTTATATAATGTAAATGATGCTCTGAATTATTCTAATAAAAAAATTGAAACTTAGATATAAAAAGAGACGGACTCACTATTTTGACCAATGAATACGTAATGTTGAAATGCCTTTGCCCCCACCACTTTTTTAATTTCTTCCTTGTGTTAGACACAACTCACCACCTTAATTATTTGCAACTTGCAGTTTGATGGCGATCAGCCCCTTTCTCCAGTCTATTTTTCTCTCTCTCTCTCTCTCTCTCTCTCTCTCTCTCTTAAATTTCCACTTTTAAAAAAATCTTAATGAGGAACGAATGATACTCATCACAACCAATCAAATCCAGAGTTCCTTCTTGGGGGCGAGGTGTTTCCACATCTTCAATAATACTACTATGGGAGGAAATGCTTGTATTGTCAACATCGTTAATCTACACCAATAATCAAATTTGATTTTTATTTGAATATGTAATCTAAATTCAATATCGTAGCAAGCAACCACATATAGGCATATTAAGCCAAGTAATAAAGAGAACTCTTATTTGTCAACCGGATCTACCTCAGTGAAAAACGGCTTTAACCATAACAGTATACAAAATTCAGAACCCAGTGGGCTACCGGTGGCCCATTCCCTGACTTACGTAACCCACCAGCCATGAGTTATTTGTTGGAGCGAAACAAATAAAAATGAAAAATGAAATACAAGTCATCAAAAGACATGATATTTCGCAGGCTAATTGCTTTTTCAGAAATTGTGAAAAAATAATTGGATGGGTGGGTGTGGGTGTCCAGAGATTAGCCTTTGCGTGTCCATAGAATTCCTCCAAATTTAATTTGATATGGCCCAATACAAAGAATTCAAGGCCATTGAGCATTTTGGGCTCTACTTCGGCCCGTGTGGTCTTCTTCGTCTCTGTGTCTCTGCTTCTCTCACAACAATACCAAGGGTTTAAGCTTTCATTTCTTCGATCTTCTCTGATTTTCTTCACTGGCTCCAAAAGCCATGCAGGCCCTTAAACGCATAGCAACAAAGACCGACTTCCAGAGACTCTCGTGCACAATCACCAAAACCCTTTTCATATCCAGCACCAATTTCAGACCCTTCTCCTCCAACTCAAAGAAAGGCGACGAAGACTGGAACGCCGCCTGGGAGACCGCCTGGATCCCGCCCGACCTCTCGGGAAGTAGTAGCAGAGCTCCATGGGAGACCGACGTCAATTTCTCGTCTTCAGAGTCGAGCGTAGTGCTTCCGTCAGACGCAGACCTGGAGACCAAGGCGTTCGTGGAGGACATGAATGAGAATTGGAACGAGAGAAGAAAACCCAAAGAGGAAATTCCGCAGAAACAACAGCAGCAGATTGAGAATGGGTCGTCGCTTTATAGCTTGGATAGTATTAAGAAGGACTATAGGGTCAAGAAACAGAGGATTCATGCTGGCCTTTGGATGAAGGAGATTGAGAAGCAAGAGGAGGCTAAGTTGGCCGACTCGAATTCTTTCGGTGGTGGGGACGATATCGAGCGATTGCTCGATAGCTGCTCCGAGTATGCTCTCCTTCTGTTTTCTTTTTTCTTTTTCTCATTTTTTACTCTGTTTTGTATGCAGTTTGTGTATTCATTTTTAATGTGTTTAGTATGTGGATTGGGTTTTGGTTGTTGTATTTGATATGAATACCCTGTGGGTTCTGTGTCGAATTTGAGATGTTTCACTTGCTCACGTACCCAGTGTTCAGTAGTTGTTTCATTTGTTATGATTTAATGCTTTGAGTCTGATTGATTGTTTTCCAAGTCTTTATTTTTTTTCTTGATGTTACTGGATTAAATCTGCATTCTTTACTATCTGTATGTGTTAATGTTCATAGAAAAAGTTTTGAAGGCTGCTTGTTAATTTACTTGTTGGGTGTACTATCGGGATACTTGCAGCATTTTTGATTCTGCCAACAACGATTTGGAAAACTCTAAAGTCCCAAGTGCTTCCGACTTCAAAAACAAACCGGATGGTTGGGAAACGACATCCAAGGCTAAGGATGGAAACGTATGGGAGATGACACAGAGAGAAGAAGATATTCTTCTCCAAGAGTTTGAGCGTCGAATTGCGTACAATAAATTTCAGGTGTGTAAATACACTCAAACAGACTTGTATTTTCCTTCTTCCTTTATACAGTATGTTCCGAGTGTAAGCATAATATAAATGAAGAGCGCAACTCGTAAGATTAATCCCAAGTTTCAGATTGTCTGTATAAATCTATATCAAATCTTAGACAAGGGTGTACAAGTGTTGCACATGGCTGTGGTGCATCAGACTTGGTAAAAGAGAACTTTTGAAATTTGACTCTTATCTATGGAATGATGCTACAGTGTCTCCCAGTATTTTCTGCATAATGGCACCACACCTACAGTTTTTCTGCCGAAAAGAGTTTGAATTTACTCTTTCATTACATGTATCTTAATCTTATTGCCATCTCTTACCTGTCTTTCCTTTCTTACTATTAGTTATCTGACATTGGCATGCAGATTGCTAGTTTTATCAAGACTCACATATTTAGCCGGAGGAGACCAATTGATGGGTGGAAATACATGATAGAGGAGCTAGGGCCAAATGCAAGGAAAGGGAAGGGTTCTGTTACAAGATTACCGAGTCTATCCGATGCATCAACCCAACCCTTTAAGGAGGAAAACAGTGCAATGAGCGGCAGCAGCATTATGCCCTTTAAGGAGAGGTAGTTTGCTTTTGGACTATGTTCATATATTCCCTTGTGCTTGGAGATTTCGGAGATTGGGCAGTAATGACCTTCCTTTGTTTAGAGATATCAGTGTCGAAAGTATTCCTATCCTAGCTACCGTAGAAATTCTTGCAATTTTGATCTCTGGCTTTCTCAATGTATGATCATACCATCTTGTAGGCAACTGAAAGTGCAATTAATTTAAGTGAAAGAATGTATGGATTTCCTTCAAACCTGCAGTTCCAACTTCTGAATGGCATATTATCTTATAAGCCTTCAATATGGTTTCGTAGTCACTCACCAATGACCAAAGGCTTCCATTCCATGATAACCCCTTGCATATTTGCTTGCGAAAAAGAACTTAATGGTGCATCAGATCAGTCACGTTGACTTGTTACCACATGAACTTTTAGTTTTTTTTGGTCATATCATGAACTTTTAGTTTAATGGTCCCAAAACAGGTGAAAAGAAGAAAGAGAGGAATCTCATTTTTGATGGCCAATCTTATTCATTAAGAATTGCGTCACTTTTCGAGAGAGTAGTCATTACGCTCCATCTTCAATCCAAATTGAAACCCAAAATTAAGAACAAGATAAAGTGTGCAAAATGTCCGTTGTCGTCTCAATATTATGGATCATGTATCGATAACACATCGACACTTTTCTGTTTATGGCATGTTATCGATAACAATGACATTTTGTTGATAACATACCTACTATAATCCTAAAACCAAGATCCTAATTACTTATATAAAACTAAAAAAGCATTTGATTAATAGACTTGATTTATTAGTTAGTTGAAGTAAAAAAGTACTTGATTTATATGTTAGTTGGGGTTCAGGACCTATATGCAATTTGGTCTCCACTTTGACCCAATATATTGTGCCTAATTTCCTGGCCCCAGTTCAAAACAATTCAAACGCTCCCGCTGGTGCCTGTACCCCATGGCTGATGACATTGTTAGCCAAGTCCTCACGTCTGGGGCATAGACTCGAGCTTTGGCCCAAACACCACTCTGTGTTCCCCGACGATCTGAAGGTCATTTCTCTATTACAATCTTGCAAACAAACCTCAGAAATCTCTCAAATCCATGGCTCTATGGTCAAGACTGGTCTCGACTGCGTTCCTTTCACATTGAGCAAGCTTCTTGTCTCTTCCATTCATGACATTCAATATGCGGCCTCCATTTTCAACCACATACAAAACCCAAATCTCTTCATGTTCAATACCATGGTCAGAGGCTATTCCATCAGTGATGATCCAACGCATGCTTTTCGTGTTTTCAATAACTTGAGGGCTCAAAATATCACGCTAGACCAATTCTCTTTCATCACGACGCTCAAAGCTTGCGCTCGTGAATTGGCCATTGGGACCGGTCAAGGGATTCATGGGATTGTTGTGAGGTCTGGGCATGGGATGTTTGTCAATGTAAAGAATACCCTTTTGCATTTTTACTGTATTTCTAGGAAAATGGAAGATGCACATAAGTTGTTTGATGAGTTTCCTCAAGGAAATGACTTGATTTCATGGAATACTTTGATGGGCGGTTATCTTCATGTGTCTCAGCCTCAAGTGATTGTAGATTTGTTCAAGCAAATGTGTAGGAACGGTTTTGAAGCTAGTGTTACCACCGTTTTGAACCTTTTGTCTGCCATTGGTGATTTAGGAAGTTACCTTGGAGGAGAGTCTCTTCATGGGTACTGCATCAAGATTGGCTTTTGTTCGGATTTACATGTGCTTACGGCTTTGATTGATATGTATGCAAAGAATGGGCAAATTGATTTAGGACGTCGGATTTTCGATGGAGTTGCTGTGAAGGATGTTGTATTATGGAATTGTTTGGTGGATAAGTATGCAAAATGTGGCCTGGTACAAGAAGCAGTAGCTTTGTTGCGGTTGATGAGACTTGAAAGAATGAAACCCAATTCATCTACACTGGCAGGACTGCTTTCGGCTTGTGCTGCTTCTGGGTCTGTAAGTGTAGGGAGTTGCATTAAGGATTATGTGGAAGAAGAGAACTTGGTTTTGGATGCGGTTCTTGGAACAGCTCTGGTTGATATGTATGCTAAATGTGGGTTTTTGGAGAAGGCACTTGACATCTTTGAAAGCATGGAAAGCAAAGATGTGAAATCATGGACAGCCATGATTTCGGGTTACGGTGTTCATGGGCAGGCAGGCAATGCCATAAGGCTGTTTTATAGAATGGAAGAGGAGGGGTGCCAACCTAATGAAGTCACTTTCTTGGCTGTGTTAAGTGCTTGCAGCCATGGAGGGCTGGTGACAGAGGGAGTTAGATGTTTTGAGATAATGGTTTGCAAGCATGGATTTGTGCCAAAAGTTGAACACTACGGTTGTATGGTAGATCTTTTGGGTCGTGCAGGATTGCTGGAGGAAGCACATACACTAATTGAAAGCTTGCCCATCAAGAGTGACATTACGGCATGGCGTGCATTGCTTTCAGCTTGCAGGGTTTATGGGAACGTTGCTCTTGGGGAAACTGTAAAGAGAGTGTTAATACAACTTAATGATGATCATCCCACCAATTCAATGCTATTATCAAGTACTTATGCGATTGCTGGAAGGTTGCCAGATCATACGAGAAGAACACAGGAAAAGGAGGATGAAAAGATGGTGAGAGGAGAGAAATTCAGGCCAGTTCGAAAAGAAGAAAACCTGATAAAGGAAGCTGGACGTAGCACAATTGAGATGGATAGTCAAGGTTGAAAAAATAAAAGTCAGCAAATGACCTGGTATATATTCATATATTGGTTTTCGTTTGTTCGAGAACTGTATTAATAAATTGATGTAACAAACCTTTCAAACAAAAACAGAGATTTTGATGTAACAATTTTGGTACAAAATTTGAATCATAGTTTCATGGTATCAGCTAGTAAGCTTCTTAACGACTTAGGTTGGGCTACATTGGATTTAACGTGAGAATTCTGGTTGGTTTCCATCAATTACAGTCGGGAGTACCAGCAAAAACACACATAAAAAGCCTTAAAAAGAAAAACATGAAGAAAAAAAGAACAGCATTAACTGCAGAATATCTAGATTCCTGAAAACGTCTTTCATCTTATGGATTTATCTTTTTCCACTTTTTGGAAAACCATCCCCTACAGTTTTTGACATTCTAATACCTCAGTCTACCTGCGAATTCTGACTCCAAATCCTTTGATCGAACCCCAGGGAATGATTTAGGGGTAAACAAATTTACACATTCCAGTGGAGAGGAAGAGGATGATGGGATGTTTGCTATTGGAGAGCTGACAGCATATTATTACTCTGCACTTTTTATATTGTGCCGCTCACATAACTTGGCCCCATTTTCAGCCCACCATCTCTCTGCTGCTTCTTCAGTGAAATGTCTCCGACTGTAGAACAACATTTGAATTTTCAGTACACAAGATTAATCCCACCATCTCTCTGCTTAGATAGATGTTAACTTGGTTGTATTTATATACTTCGAAAAATAATGGTGCAGAAGGGAAAGCGGGGAGGGGGAGAGAGATATACCTGAAGCGAACACGTCTGAGTTCATTACCACCATCTGGCAAGGAGCATAAAGTTATATATACACCAGGCTCATCTTGTAGCACCCGCTCTGCCTTTCCAGTTTGTCCTTTAGTTCCATTAGCTAAGATTCGATCCATTGAATTGCCATTGGACAAGTCTGGAGTAGTTATGTTTGTCAGATGGCTCTCTTTGGATAACTGGTCTGCAAAATTGATTGCATGGCCAGCCATAGATCCTGAATTGCAGCTGCCGATCTGTCCTTCTGGCATTCTTTCAGCCACGTCCTTCAACTGTTTGAGAAGTAAAATCATTCACAACATCGGAAAATAGTTAATAAATAGCATAGCATAGTTGCAACCCCACGCCCCAACAACCAAATAAAAAGAGAGAGGAAAAAATGAAACACGTTGAGGCAACATATTTAAAAAAATCCTAAAGATGGGAATTGGTTTTATAAGTATCACAATCAGAGAATTCACTAGTTGATCTTGACTTTATCATTAATCATAAGTTTTAAGAACATTTTTCCTGATTGACATCAAGAATCCACTTTCCAGTTAGACAATATACGTAGATTCTCTTACATATACGACACATTAGCATAGAAATGCCTGAATTGGAGACTGGATTGAGAGTCTTTCATGTCCATTGCAAGCAATTTATGCCTCTTCATATTCAAATGTGAATGCATCTACAAATTTCTCAATTAAACCCATCAACAAATATTTTTCAAGTGAAGCAATAAGTTTAACAACATGTCTTTTCTGCACCACATAAAACACATTAAATTTTTAAAAGTTTACAACATGATGATGTAGATCAAATGGTGTCTATCCTTAATAAGTTAACTTGCTCTCAGGTTATTCTTTTTAGGATCCATCACATATTGAGTTCAAGTCTGAAAGCTCAAGATCTTCACAATATTGAAATGGAAACCCCTTCTGGGGAGTAATATACTGCTTCTTTATTAATGTATAACTAGTTGGATGACTCTGCTCACTTCAAATTAGCTTATCATGAGAAAATATCACATTGATAATATAAAATTGTATGCATGGTACTGGCCAGTCCCAGCCAATTCCATGTGAGGCACTTTGCTCCCAATTGAGTATATAAATCGCAGTTATAGTGCTAAAATCATAAAAAGCAGAATATTGAACAGAGAACATTTCCAACCTGAGCAGTTAGAGACTTAATAACTTCCTTTGCAGATTTGCATTTTTCAGCTTCATCTGCAGCTATTGCAGATACCTCCTTCAATTTCTTTGATGTTCTTTGCAGTTCAGCTTCAAGATATCGGGATTTGGAAGTAAGGTCTTCTACCTACATGGTTTTTTGGATCACTTTCAGCTTTGTGTAGAGCATGCATCACGTCAACCAATTTAAGGTAGAAAAGGGAATGAAAGAAATTAAAATCACTTAATAGTCAATGCAAAAATGAGAAAAGAAAGCCCCTAATTTTCCTATTGATGTAAACTTTAACCCACTGCCTCAGTTCATAATCCATGCTAGCTCCTCTCCCTTAGTAGTTACAAAAGGTCTAAGATTCAAACTCCTGAACTCACCACAAGGAGGTTCTTCTTGCTAGACAGAGAAAAGTACTAATAGTGTCCAAGTGTACTTTTTCTGCTATATTATCTTGACCTCCAAAAATGAACCACCTAGGATGAATTAATAGTTTGAAACTATGTTAAATTCTGTCAATAAAAGAGATAAAGGAGAGGACAAAGTAAGGAGGAAACTTAAAATTTTTTGTTTTGTTGAAGAACTGGTTTATAGAGGACAAAGTAAGGAGATAAAATCTTGTCAGAGTTTATAACTGAAGCAAAAAGCCTCAAGGATTAGGATAGATAATAATTTTGCAAGAAATTGAGATAAGAACTTTTTCTAGAAATACCCATGAATAATGATGTACTGTCAACAGTCTTTGGAGATCAATGATGGTCTACTTTTGGAGTGCTATTCCCCACAACAACAAAAAAGAGTGTGTCCGGAAAGAGAAAGGATATAGGCATGAAGTAAAGAATACAAAATACTATTAACTCTTAGAAAATGAACGGGGAAAATTGATGTTAAGAGCATTTAGATCTCAGAAACATATATTAGTCTCATGTTATGGCACTGCCTGAGAGTATACATATTTGATTAGGATTTAGCTGTATGGAGGGATTTAGTTGAAATATCAGATTGTAGTCACTAAAACCAGGCTTACCTGTGTCCTTAAGTTTATGATTTCTTGGCTCAAACTTCCATTTATAAGCTTAGAATCCTCAAGAATATCATCAGAAGACCGACGTGGGCTTGACTTTCCTGAAATAGGAGACGTAAACCGAGAAGCCTTTCTGGAAGCAGGAATTGAAGCTGATACAACTTTTTCTGAATCTCCAGTGAGAGAAGTTGATGCTTTTGTCAAATTAAAGCCCCCAAACTGCAACTGTCCATTCAACATGGGAAAGACACGAGTATCACGGGCTTCTGGTTTTCTGTCTTGCTTTGGATACTTGCTTTCACTCTGGTTGGTTGAGCCAAAAGATGAGAGTCTGGAGAGTGTTGCCCGTAACATAGGTACCAGAGTGTCTCTATCTGCCACATCATTGGCTTTATGACGTATATTTCCACTTTTAATTGTAGCACTTCGCAAAGCAGAACTAGCTTCTGCGGCTTTCTTTAGTTTAGTATAACACTCATCACACACCCGATATGGCTTGTTCATATTTGGAGCCAAGGCAGCTTTCAGAGATTTCTTGCTGCTGCATGCTTTGCAGAAGACTAGTCCACAATTGTAACAATTATGACGTTTTCTTCTGAAACCAAAGGGATTATGACAACCAGAGCAAACAGAATGGTCAGCACTAGATGCCCATTTATGAAGACAAATGACCGCTGTAATGTTTGGACCACATGTTACACTCTTTACTTGCTTATCCTTTATACAATCTACAAGGGTAGGTGTATTTCTATGATCATTGTCTCCATGGCCTAGTTGCCCATTTGAACCCCTTCCCCAAGTAAAAACCTCTGTCTTGGAAGTCAAAACTGCAACATGATAAGAACCACAGGCAATATCTTCAACAAAACTATCTGCAATTTTACCCTCAACCAGAGTGGGAACTTTCCCATCAGCTAAAGGACTGCCAAGCTGTCCATAAGCAGCACTTCCCATTGTATATACTTGTCCTGAGGTTGTAAGGGCAACTGTGAGATTATGGCCACATGCTACCTGACAAATATGTTTATCAACCAATGCAGCTACGCATTCAGGAACTAGTCTAGATTCTTGATCACCATGTCCAAGTTGGCCTGTATCTCCATCCCCCCAGGTGTACAGATTTCCAGATGAAGAGTTACTAGAAGTCTCAGGACTAGATAATTCATTTGTTACTTCAACAACTGCAGCAGTGTGCCAAACACCGCAAGCAACCCTTGTTGTTCTTAGCCCTCCCAAAGTTTCCACCTCCCGTGGAGTATTTGTGCTACTATGATCCCCATGGCCCAAGGCACCAAAAGAACCATCCCCAAAGGTAAATAACTGGCCAGCTGATGTCACAGCAGCTGTATGCCATGGTCCGCAAGCGATATAGGATACATGTATACCATCCATGTGACCACTTACCTTTTTGGGTATCCAATGACTAACTTCACTTCCATGCCCAAGCAGACCAAAATTATGAGTACCATCACCCCATGTATAAAGATCTCCAGAAAGTGTAACAGCACAAGTGTGATATTCCCCGCATGCCACTAATTCAACATTAATGCCACTAAGAGTGTCAACGAGCTTTGGGTGGGAAACATCTGCTTCTACCCCATGCCCAAGCCTGCCTCCTGACTCCTCTCCCCAACTGAAGATTTCCCCTTGCTTGGTGACCAGCACCGCATGTCTGGCGCCACAAGCAATTCCATGAACATCTACGACCACTGTTGATTCCAATACCTTAGGCAGAAGAGCATCTGTCCTGAAACCATATGAACAACCAACTCTATCCACACCACCTCCTAGTACTCCACCACCAATACCTTCACCCCAAATGAAAACATCTCCTAATGCATCAAAATCATCCTGACAAGAACCTTGACTTGACGAACTTACAGCACTAGATAAACTAACTCGAAATCCTTCAGCTGCAGCAGAACTTCGACCATTTGAGTTATCTACAGATGCAGGTGATAATGAGGAATTAGAAACTGATTCAATTTGAGTGGCACTCTTGGGGGTTGCAGTATATGTAATTATGTCAGCAAATGCCCTTCCTAATCTACTCTGCGGGATATTCTCCAAAGGCACTCCCTCAGTATCTCCTACATCCTGTAAGTTTTGCAGAATACCAAGAAATACTGTAAATGCTTGGTATTTTTTTTTTTTTTTTCTAAAAAGAAAGAATAAAAGATAAGTCACCGATACATACAAATGGTGTGACTGATGGAGAACTTCGTCGAGTACGAGTATGGGGACTATCTAGTGATGTGCTGTCCAATCTTGACTCACTTCTCCAGTTCCGGTAGTTACCTCGACTGATTAGTGCTTTAAGACCAACAAACCAAACTTCAGCTTCATCCTTGTCTTTACATATCTGTCCAAGAGGGTGGTAATGTATTAAATACAATTCGAAGTTTAAAATTTCAAGAAGCTCACAATACTAACAAATATGACTTCCGATGTTTTTTTTTCTTTTTCTAGAATAAATTTCTTAGGTTTTGATCTGCCTTGTACATGCAGTTGCAAGAATGAACCTTGAGCGTGCTGGCTGTGAAAAGTTAAATTTGCTTTATCTTGAAATATATCCAGCAAATATACTCACCAAGTCCAAGGACCTATCGTTGTATAGGAGTGAAAATGATTGATACTCCTTTTCAGGCCGTGGATACCGCTGAAATATTGCCTGGAAGAAAAAAGCCACACTAGTACTTATCAATATTTTTGGAAAGTATGCAAACAAAGGATACAACAATTCAGTAAAGGAAAAAAGTAAATTAGAATCAAGGTAATTGGTGACACCATGAAAGAAAAAAATCTAAAAGCTTTTTTCAAAAGCAGGCATAAGCATTTAAGAACATTTTGACCGTTCGATAATATAGTTCAGCTTTGCGTTGAGATTTTTCTTGCAAAAGAGAATGAAAATGCAAACTTACTGTACGCTGGCCAGGAATAATTGTTGAAACATGACTGAGTTTAAGGTGTTTTTCTTCTTTGCCAGAGTACCATATCAATAAAGACTCATCCTGAAACAAAACCAAAATTATCAGAGTCAACAGAACAGAAATGAAAGAAGGCCACATATGTCAAGGCAACTTACATTAGAAAGCCGGAACGGGCAGAACTTTGGCTTCCCTCTGCGCCCATATTTTAACAAAGTTGCACCTTTCTTAAGTGCTGTTATGGCCTGGAAATAGAATGAAAATATGGAAGGGGTTTAATAATAGAAGAGCACAAACTGCACTAAGGAAGCTAAATGCTTCATGGTTCAATAGATCATGTAGGCAAAAATAATCGTGATCATTCACTTGAATGTCTGCATACATAACTCTAGACATATACTCAATCAATTGCATGCATCATGTAATCAGTTCAAACCTCAAGTGAACAAAATGTTCAACTGACCAGGACCCAGCAGTCTCACAATAACTGTAAAATTCATGAAAATAGTTTATGAAAAGAAATGGAAGCGGAGTAAACCTGCTCGATATCCCTCTCGACAGAACCGCTTCTCTGAGGACTAGCCATTCAAGTTGAAATATCAGGTTTTGCCCAGAAGTACAAGACCCAACACCCATTTGAACACCACCAGCACCTAATATTTTCAGTACCATAACCCAATTCCCAACTTCTCCCCATCAAATCAACAAAAAGAAAAAAATTACTCTGTTTTTGAGCCACAAGAAAATTGATTTACTCCACCTCTAACCCATTATAATCACAAATGGGGAACAGCCCTCAAGAACAACCTTGCAGCTCAAGAAACACAACCCCAAAGCCTCAGAATTTCACAATGCTGCAAAACCAAACCCAAAAATGCCACACAGGAAGGCTCCACTAATTAGCACTCAGCTCTGAAACAGCTCAAACGAATTCCTCAGAAATCAAAGAAACCCTAGAATTCACATACGAGGTCGAATTCCTCCGGCACTTTTGGATTTTCGCATTGTCCGACACCAAAAAGACACATTCTAAAGCGGAAGGAGCACAGAAACGAAGATTGAGTTTACCTACATTGCGAGAAAGTTGCAGAAATTCGCCGAATGTGAGCCATTTCCAAAAATCTGAGGTCGTTCAGTTCTAAAAAGAAAAGGAGAGAGAGAGAGAGAGAGAGAGAGAGAGAGAGAGAGAGAGAGAGAGAGAGAGAGAGAGAGAGAGAGAGAGAGAGAGAGAGAGAGAGAGAGAGAGAGAGAGAGAGAGAGAGAGAGAGAGAGAGAGAGAGAGAGAGAGAGAGAGAGAGAGAGAGAGAGAGAGAGAGAGAGAGAGAGAGAGAGAGAGAGAGAGAGAGAGAGAGAGAGAGAGAGAGAGAGAGAGAGAGAGAGAGAGAGAGAGAGAGAGAGAGAGAGAGAGAGAGAGAGAGAGAGAGAGAGAGAGAGAGAGAGAGAGAGAGAGAGAGAGAGAGAGAGAGAGAGAGAGAGAGAGAGAGAGAGAGAGAGAGAGAGAGAGAGAGAGAGAGAGAGAGAGAGAGAGAGAGAGAGAGAGAGAGAGAGAGAGAGAGAGAGAGAGAGAGAGAGAGAGAGAGAGAGAGAGAGAGAGAGAGAGAGAGAGAGAAGATTTGAAAAAAGAAAAGAAAAATGAGAGTACTAAGCGCTTGGTGATGTCGGTGAGGTCGTCTTCAATGTCATATTCCCCAGAGCTTTGGGCATTGTTGGTGTTCGTTAACTAACGTGCGCACCTCTCTCTCTTTTCTTTCTTTCTTTCTTTCAAGCTTTAACTGTTTGTTTTGTCTCTCCTGATTGCCAAATCAATTTGGTGTCGCTTCATGCCACGTCACCAACTGAAATCTCCGGGATGGGGATGGTTTGCTTTTGTCTTTATTTGTGCCAATAAGCATGTGTTACTTGTTGACCAAAACAAAAGCTTGTCTTAATTAATTAATTAATTTGGTTTGCTTTTGATTTCTTTGTTGAATTATGTCCCCTAAAACTATGATAAAAAAGGATAATGTCCCCAATACTTTGATAAGGAAAAAAAAGTTATGTCTCCTAATATGCTTTCTGAATTTTTTTTTTTGGGGTTGAAAATAATCATATTTTTAAGAAATAATATTTAAACAATATAATATTTTGGGAATATTTCAGGTTAAATGCTAAATGAAACATTTGTTCCAATTTAAAAACTAATTTTTATTTTATTTTAATTTTTAAGGTTTATTACTAAATGAAAATTCAAAGTAATTTTAACAAACAAATAATAAATCTAAAATTAAAGTTGTGACCTAAATTAAGAGCACTTTCATTCATTTGTCATGACAAAAAGCAATGGCAATGGCAAGTAAAGCGCGATTACTGGTCACGTGAATAGTATCTGCCCTAGCAATTTTATTTTTTTTTGCTTCTCCACCCATTGCAATGGCAACCCAAGGGCAATCAATTACTCAAGATATTTGACGTCATACGAGAAAAGCGACAGTTTTATGTTTATTATTATTTTTTCCATATTAGGAATGAAAAATTTTCTATTATTGGATAACCTTTACTGAGCTTCTGCCACGTGCAATATGCTTGTGTTACAACCATAAAAGACCGACAAAATAGTTCTAGTTTTGTCGATTTTAAAATTTACCAATTTGACGTTTCCCAGTGGCTTAACTTAACCCCTCAGTTCCAAATTGTAATTAACTTTACTATTTATATGAATGATTGAGTCTAGACTCTAGAGTATTATTTAATTATTTATATGTTTTTCTTTTTCAAATACGTAATTAATTGTAAGTTTGCAAGAGGAGGAGAAGAATTGGTTTTGATTTAGTTAGTAAAAGTTGAGCGAGGGAGGGCATTACTTTTACTTTTATAACTTGTTTGTATCATCTTAATAAGGAGATGGAGAGACTAGAATGAGGAGGTTGAGTGAGGAGCTTATTTGAGGAGGTGAAATCTCACCATTAACAACTAAAAACAAAGCACATGGGGGGTGCATTGGGGGGTCCACACTCCTTTTGATGGTGAGATGGGGCTCCTCAAATAAACTCCTCACTCAACCTCCTCATTATAGAAGCTCCCATGCAATTACCACTGGAAGTGCTCTAATGGGTTGAACGCAAGCAGCCCAAGTGAAAAGAAAAAGAAAAACTCAAAGTAGTATTATCTAAAAAGTTTATAATTTTTCATTGGACTCGAACGGGAGGAAGTTTTAAGTGGATGTCCTCATTGGTTTTGGATGAGTACCATAATGTTCTAGATGGGTTTGATTATAATGAAATTATTTGAGCATCATAAAAAAGATGCATGCACTACTACAAAACCTCAAAAATGGGCCACTAATAATTTGAGGACAATCGTGCTCACAACAATGGGTTGGCCAGGGATAAGACAGATCTACATGAAAATGAAATTCTGGTTTTTGTGAATAGGCCCAAATCAAATGAATTGCTATATATGTTGCATTATTGGATGGTGTTTGGAGAGAGAAGGGTTTTTAGAGCAAAACTGTGATGAAACATCCTTAGATTTTGGTGGCTGATTGATCTTGTTTACATGCTCAGGTGTTGAAGCATTTCAAAGCAGCGCATATATGTTGCGTGCTTAGTTAACACTCAATTTCATCTCATGATATTAAAGATATATATGTAGCATACCAAATGGGTTCAGGAGAGACAGCATACAACATAAACTATAAACCAAATTATTAAGACAGACAATGCACTGATTCAGTACATATAATCATCATCAAAGATCATGTAATTGTGGCTCTTCCTGCTTCTTGCTTCTCTATCAGCCTGCAAATCAGAAAACACATTCAAAAGGGTTCGATTAGAATGCTCTTCCTCTTCTGCTCTCAGTCAATGAGCTAATAATAATAATTAATGTTATATGTAGCTCAGTCAGCTAGGAGGACAGAAAGATTAGTTGAAATAATTAATTAATTATAATTACCTTGGTTATGAGCCTTTCAAAAGCTTCTGTGCCATGCTCTTCCATATATTTTTCAGCAGCAGTTAAAACGTCATCCGGTTTGCTGAAGATGTTCTTCTTCTTTGGGATATACCACATCTGATGAGGTGATGGTGGGTTCATATAGTAGGGTCTGATAAAGTGCCGATAAACATATGCTGCTCCATTGAATTGTGGCAGCACCAACCAGCATGTGAAAATCAACTTGGCATACGGCCAAATGGGAAAGCTGACAGTAAACATGTATATATATAGGATGATTATGATTATATATGTAGTTAATAGTTAACACTTCATCATGATTCATATCTTTAGTGTTCAATGACCAAGCTCTCAAATCTTCCTAAATTGGAAATGGGAACAGTCTCTTTTCAGCTTATTGATCTATTATTCTGTTCATGTATTTGTTAAAGGGACTGATAAATTTCAAGCTGCTTGATGCATTTAGAACCCTCCATGGAGGCCAATCTCTTACTTTTTAGTACTTTTTGGCATGGCATTCACTCAAGCATGTTGCAGAGTGAATCACCCTCCCCTGCTTTTCAATGCACCTGAGTTTTTGACTCAGCCCAATCAACAGGTTCTAAATGCTCACCAAAATTTCCTACTAAGTTGAAAATGCATATATATATATATATATATATATATATATATATATATATATATATATATATATATATATATATATATATATATATATATATATATATATATATATATATATATATATATATATATATATATATATATATATATATATATATATATATATATATATATATATATATATATATATATATATATATATATATATATATATATATATATATATATATATATATATATATATATATATATATATATATATATATATATATATATATATATATATATATATATATATATATATATATATATATATATATATATATATATATATATATATATATATATATATATATATATATATATATATATATATATATATATATATATATATATATATATATATATATATATATATATATATATATATATATATATATATATATATATATATATATATATATATATATATATATATATATATATATATATATATATATATATATATATATATATATATATATATATATATATATATATATATATATATATATATGTGGCTGAAGTTATTTCTATTTTGCTACCTAATTTTTTGAACATCCTTGTAAAGCGTAGTAACAAAACTGAAATCTACCATTTGCAAAGGAAAAAAAGAAAAAGAAACCCAGCAAGCTAGGTAGCTAACCATTCAAGGACTTTGGCAAATGTGAGCTCAAAGATTGTCATCAAAGAATACAGAACCCAATAGGTAAGCCATTGTTGATCATCGGTACGAGACTTGGTCTCTATCGCCTTAATCGAAGCATATCTGTCGAAAACAACACATTCCATGAGAATCATAGATGGCTGCATGTACATTGTCCACATAATATTGAAGAAAAAACCACAAAATCATGAGACACTACTTACAGGGGATAAACCAGTGTGATCAGAGGCCTGCAGATGAGAGACAAAGAATAAATTAATTAACAACTACAATGCTATACAAAATCTTCAGTGTAAATTATAATTCATGTGTGTGAGTTATGAACTTGTGAGAGCGAGAGAGGAACATACAAAGCAAGAACATCAAAGTTGCTAGCCACAACTTGGAGAAAATTATTCGAATTCCCAGAATTATTGCGACCCATGTCTTGCTGTAATGGTATCTTTGTTCTTCTATCTGGTTCTTAAAAAGATTGAGAAGGGTTTCAAAAAGCTGCCTGTGAAAGGTGACAAGAAAGGAACGTAAGTGGAAAAGTTAGTAGCAAAGGGAAAGCTGATTTTGCGGAGAATCTAATCATACACACAAGAAATGAGGCACCGATTTTTTGAATTTCGGGCTTGGTTGACAATAGCGTCTCCATTTTGTATTTTCTCTGTTAATACAATGCCTATTATAATCAAAGGAATTTACGTCTCAAGGCCATCGCCATAGTGAGAAAAGTTCAAAACTTGACATTTAAATTAGAATGGCAATTAAACAAAGTTCTAGATATTAGTGTAGAAAACTAATTTAATCTTCTTACAAATTATATGGTTTTGTACTAGGATTACCGAATTCCTTATTCCAACATCATTGATATGTAGTCAATTAACCTATTTGCTCAAGGAAGGAGCTTGGGGAGCTTTGAGATGGAAGTTTCCAAATAATATTTTACTCAACTTCTAGTAACACATGCGATTGGTTTCAACGAAAAAGCTCAATACCAACTATATCCATTGGTCTAGTAGTACTTCTCTCTTCTACGATAAGTTAAATAGATCTCAAGTTTGATTCTCCTCTGAACGAAAGATCAAAAACAATAAAAACATAATACAAAAGTTCAAGTAATTACATGATGCATGTGTAGTTTTACAAAGCTGGATAAATTTGGTGGGCTGGATAAATTAGAGTGAGATTTTGGTAGTGCTTCAGCCCAAAGCTAGGAAAAATGGAAAAGCAAGATATTCGGGTATCTGCGACTGCTAAGGTACTGTACCTGTTTGTTCACAAGCACCACTAGCTGCATGGAGGAAAAACCTCTGTTGACTACCTCGAAATGGAAATGCATGATATGAATTTGATGCGTGTTCTTAATAGATCTAGGCCCCATTAATTCCGGAAATGGTTAAAGTACTGTACATGATATATATGGTTGTCAGTTGAATTAATGTTGATGAATAAATGAAGGGCAACTGCAGCCATGTGATGTGAGGCCTAAAATTACATGCAGTTTCTAACCCAG